TTTTTTTTTTTTTTTTTTTTTTTTTTTTTGTCCAGCAGCAGTGCCTGAGAGCTAGTAAGTCTGGAGCTGGGACATAAGCTCAGAAAGTTGTGCTCCTGTGAGATAAACCACAAATTCTTGGTGGTAGAACATTATTTGATATCAGATTATCTGGGTTCTGGAAGAAATGAGAAGTCAGAACAAGAATGGCCAGAAAACTGGCCCTGATGTCTAGGTAGGGCAAAGCAGTGGACATTCTAGGTTTCCAGAGTTATAGTAGTATCCAGATCCAAGAGATTCAGGTTGTCTCTGGATTAGGGACATTTATCAGTGTGAATGACAAGGCAGGTCTTGGATGTTGTTCCTTACTGCAGATATTTTGTCCTCTGCATGCCTGCACCTCCTCAGATTCTCTGCTCTGTTTTCTTGGGATTCTTCAAGTACTTACTAAGTATTTTGATATTTGTTAAGGCAAAAATGTTTCTTAAAATCATTACACTGAAATTCATCATAAAATCTATTTTTTGTGATATATTGCTGTGGTCTATTCAGTGTTCATAGTAATCCAGAGAACCTCTATTCTCTGTAATTATAATTAAAAGTATTTTTAATAAAACTGAACAAGGATTTTCATTGGGGCGTTTGATTGAAGATACCATTTTTTTCCTTTAGTGCCTTACTTTCTATACTCTTAGGATTTTAAAATGAGCATATGCTATTTATTAAATACATTTTAAAAAGCCAGGTATGGTGGTCCCTGTCTGTAGTCCCAGTACCTGGGAAGCTAAGGCAGTAGGATTTCCAGTTGGAACCCTGCCTGGGCAATTTAGTGACACTGAGCCCTTTCTCCAAATAAAATTTTGTAAAAGAGTTTTAGATGTAGCTCTTGGTGAAGATCCAAGCATTAATCTCCCATACAAAAATTGCATAAAAGAAATGATAAAATATTTTAACATAAATTGTCTGGATATCTTCCTGTCATTTTTGAGTAGCTTATGGTAAATATAGTTCAATCTCCTTGGATTATCTGGATCAGATATTAATATTATTGTTCATTTGATACAGATTCTCATTAGGTATCTCAGGCTGACCTTGAACTTGAGATCCTCTTGCTTAAGTCTCCTGATGGCCAACATGTCTGGCTTAGAATATTATTTTTAATTATTTTAAAGAAAGTTTTGTTTTTAAGTCTGTTATTGATTTTCTTCTAGTAGCTTTTGCACTAATATTTAAAACTGACCATGTCTTATGAACTATTTGCTGTTATTTTTGAATTTAGATAATTTGTGCTTGACTCAATAACAAATAAGTGAGATTGCAGGCTTGTGATTTTTAAGGTGTAATTGCTTTAATGGGCTGTGTCTGTGTGAGAATCAGTTCTGAGCAGTGTAAAGGCTAGAAAAAGACAGACCATCTTAAGCAACATGAGTAATGTCTCCTGTTGATCTATAATGGAAACAATTCAAGAGGCTTTGAGACCCTCTGGTCCTTCCTCCTCACTGACAGATAAGACCAAGTTCAAGGTCCTCTGGCCTTGAATAGACTGGTGATGCATTGCGAGTGCTGCTGTTTTTTATACTCTCCATTAATGACTGATGGCCAGACTTCAAAAGGAGGTACAAAGCGAATTGTCCCCATCGAGCAGATTTGTTGAAAGTAATTCACAAGTGACACATAACTGAGCAATAGAAATTTAACTGCTAATATGTGTCAAGCTCCTTCTGTAGTCTATTCTCTCTGATCTAGTAATTTCAGTGTTTAGGGCTTTTCTTAAAAATCATTTAATACAGGAATATATGGTAGAAGGCTATTTACCATAATATTATTAATAAGCAAGGATACATTTTTAAGAATAAAGAATACCTAACTGGAATATTATGTGACCACTGAAATTCATCACTATTATTAATGACTATGGGAAAGGGTCTTGATATTTGTTAAGTCAGAAAATATGAAACAACGAAGTATAGAATTCTGTCTCTGTTTTGCTAAATGTGTAAACCGGGTACGGTGACACCTACTGATATCTCAACTACTGAGGAGGCCAAAACAGGAGGATTTTGAGTTAAAAGCAAATTGGGCAACTTAGTAAGACCTTGTCTCAAAATAAAAAATGGAAAGAGCTGGGGATGTAGCTCAATGGTACATCTAGCGGTAGCTACTCTTCTCCAGTGCCACAAAAACAAATAAAAATAGAAAGGTCTGGAGCTCACGTACAGCCCTTTCCCAGCATGGATGAGGCACTGGCTTCATTCTTTACTGCACATGCATATGTGATATGTATGTTTTACCAAAAAAAGTACATAATCTAATATGTAAAATACACCAATATGTAACATTTTATTGCTTTAATGAAAACATACTTTTTCAATGTTTTCCAAGTATTACTGAGTTGTGCTGAATAGCAATTAAAAAGACAAAGTAGAATCACATTTAAAAATATGTAAAAGTGCCTGCTTAGGCAGGCACAGGGACTGGGGTTTGGTCACTGGCATGTCATGCCAGACCTGCCCCTGGGACTCTCTGAGATGGCAATTGAGACTGGGTGTGGTGGTGCATGCCTGTTATTCCAGCGCCTGGGAGGCTGAAAACTGGAGAATCACTACAAGTCTGATCTATGTAGTGAGACCCTATAGACCCTGTACTAAATATACATTTAAAAAGTATAAAATAACTGTACTGTTCACTTATAATGTCACCATCATAGAACAAAGAACACTGCAAAAAATATAGAAACATCATGTTCTCAGGTCACTTTGTAAAGCTGTGTGGCAAATGCTTTCATCTCTTTAAGCCTTGGCTTTTTTTTTTTTCTGTGTGGAAGGAAAGTTTAAACTGGTAAATTTGCCTTCAGTTTGGTAAGTTACTTAGTATCTGTTTCCATAAAGAAGATATGCATAAGAAATATTAAATGATAAATAATGTATAACCAAAAAAACAAATTTCACTCACCTGTTTTACAGAATTAAAACTAACTGCCCTGTTTGCCCCGTGCCTCTTGGCAATGGGGTGATTGTTACAGATTGCTACTGAAGCAATCGAAAACTTCCGAACCGTCGTGTCTCTGACCAGGGAAGAGAAGTTTGAACACATGTATGGGCAGAGCTTGCAGATACCATACAGGTAAAAGCCACTGGAGATTAGGAGGTTAGCATGAGGAGTTTTTCGATTAGCAGAGTTGTTTTGGAAGGTTTATTTGCCCAGAAGTTAGGGCACAAATGGGGAGTACTTGCACTGAACCGCAGAAGAAGTGTTGAGACCCTGCAGAGTCAGGGGCATCTCTGACAGCTGGTAGGAGGTGGGTGTGGGGGAAGAGGCTGTTGAGAACATAATCTCTGGGCTCCTATTTTGATTGTGACTCTATTGTTCTGGTTTGGGGTGCCGGCTATCTATGGATTGTGCAAGTTGAAGTCAGGGTGGCACTTCCTGGGTGTATATATGTTGTGCATTTCTTCCCTCTCCTCTGGTGGGAACCATCTGCGCTTCCTTTCATACAGCCATCCCATGGAGGACTTCCACAAGTGGTTTGAATTCAATCAAGCCCTGGTTCTCTCAATCTCCTTCAAAGGAGACACCTGGGACTTAATGATAGGTTTTCCAATTTCTTTTCCTTTTTTTTTTTTTTTGGAAGTGATTTTCACTAGAAATCCCAATATATGACAAAGATAAAAATAAAGTTAACACAGTTGAAGTATGTGTCTGATCCCAGATGGCTGTCCATTTACCAACATGTTCCTACCCATACTGTAATGTCACTGAATTTTATGATGCTTAGAAAACCTAGTCTCAGTTCTTTTGCAATTCCTTTAGTAAGTTCCCCAGAGAAGTGTTTGTTTTTATTTTTCGTGTTTAATTATAAGGCACTGTAACTCCATTGCATAAATAGATACCGAGCCAAACACCTAGAAGGAACATCCCCATTCTTCCCGAGGAAAGGCAAGAATATCTGTATTCTTCTGTGTCACAGGACATGTTAACCCTCAGTTTGTAGATGTTGGGTAAATGCGTGTTTAGAGTGAATGCTAACTGTACAGGGCATATATTACATGTTGAGTAGTTTGGGAAAAGGAAGAGACTTTTATCTGTTAGATCCTAACTAGTTCTATACAGATTTTATAGGCTTAATAACTCTCCACATCAATACATAAAAGTGCAGTTACCCCTTCACTAAGGATGAAGACACTGATCCTCAGAGTTGAAGCACATAACTAAGTTCACATAACTGGAAAGTAAAATGAGAATGAAACAATTTTCTGGAGGTTAAACCTATTTTTTTCTGTCACTTTTTTTTTTTGGGTGGAACCAGGGAGTGAACTCAGACCCTTGCATTTGCCAGGCAAGCACTTATTCTACTGAGCCATCTCCCTGGCCCCTTGTCTGTCACATTTCTGTGCCCCACCATCAACCAATGAAAAGTTGCATTTGAAGGATTGAGAAATGAAAGCATAGTAAGTTTCCAAATGTGTTCTTTTCAGAAACTCTTTGAAGAAAGCACACATCTTCGGAATCACATTTTCCTTCACCCAGGCCATGATGTTTTTTTCCTATGCTGCTTGTTTCCGGTTTGGTGCTTTCTTAGTGGCCCGGGGTTTCATGACTTTTGAAAATGTTCTGTTGTAAGTATTGGTTTAATATTGACAATATATACTTTGGAAGAAGTAATACCTCTGAAGGGGTGAACATCTCTCATGTCTAGATAGAGAACTCTAGAGGCAGCCTCATGAAGAGATTTTGCTGGTTGAGAAAGTGGCAATTTGTCTCTGGGCCTCTGTCTGTTCCCATGGAAACACCAACTTCACACATACACACACCCCTGACTTTTCCAAGTCTGTGGCTGCTTGAGAGACTAACTGAGAGATCTCCAGAGGGCATTGTCTTTTGCAAAGAAGTCTGAGCCTCAGTGAGGGGCCTGAGGACTCCCTGTAAAGGGCTGTGCAACACAGCAGCCAAGACACAGAAGTGGGGCCCACATTCCATGTGTCCTGGAGGATCTCAGGTTAAATTCACTTTTCCTCGTTGGAGAACAGTTGTAAGGGAAGTGCTGGAGAAATGAAAAAATGGAAAAAAAAACAACTAGATAAGGGTTTTTCTGCTACATCTCCATGGCTACAGAAAATTATACTATAGTCGAGAGAAGTCATGTTTCAACTTAATTGTACTACTAATATACCGTAATAACCAGTTTAGTAGTGTGGTCTTTCTAATCTTGTAGATTTGGTGACTGATCAATCTGTCCTTTGATGTACTTAAAACTAAAAGTAATAAAGTTTTACATTGCAATCAGAATCACATGAATCTCAGAATATAACATATCAGTATAATGTTTTTGCATTGACTTATTCACACATTATATTTAGTTCAGGATGGCCCTAACGGAAGATTTAAAATGTCTTCTTTCTCATTTGTGTGTGGCATATGATGTATAGGTGTTATTTGTGATGATAACCTAAAGACCAAAGTTACTGTGGATATTAGGTCTCCATTGGAGAATTATTTGATATATAACTTTATTTTTTTGCTCCATAATTTTATTGAGAAACAAATAGCGATGAGACAGTTTCAAATCAAATTGTAGGACAGTTTCAAGAATTAACACATTGCATACATTCTTCCTAATGGTTAATTGCTGTACAAGATGTGGACATGATATCCTATTTATAAACACCATTAGAACAAATCCCTCTGTTCATTAAGAGAATGCAACTATATATCTATCCTAACCACATTGAATTCACAGATACAAAATGGACATTCATCTGTATCCCTTTTTTTTGTTAAGTTCTGTTATTTGAATATTATAGGTGTGTAAACTCAGCAAAATATTCTAAAAGAGTCCAGTAGCCCACTTTGAATTAATGAATGTTGCTGTCACTGAGATATTTAGGTTTGCAAAGTCTTCCAAGTAGGTGAAGCAAAGGGGAGACCCATGCGAAGAGCAGTAAGTAGATCAAAGGTTTTAATAAGATGAAGGACAAGATTAACCATCTGTGTGATTTATTTAGATCAAATTTTTTAAAACAAAGAAACAACTAATAGCACTGTGTGCTGCTTTCACAGAGTTGTAGAGGGCTACTGTTCAAACACACATTTTGATAATGTTATTAAAGACTCAAAGGACCTTTACAATAGTAAAGGTTATTAATACTCAAAGGACAGCCCTATAACAGGTTTTACTTCAGTTGATAAAAAACTATTTGTTTTGCGATTATGTGTCACAGTGCTCCCTCATGTAGAAGTGTCAACTTTCTGGCAATGGAGCCATAACTGTTCCTGGGTTTTGTCTTCTGTTGTCCAGGGTGTTTTCAGCCATTGTCTTTGGTGCCATGGCAGTTGGACAAGTCAGTTCATTTGCCCCTGACTATGCCAAAGCCAAAGTGTCAGCCTCCCACATCATCATGATCACTGAAAAAGTCCCCGCCATTGACAGCTACAGCACGGAAGGCCTGAAGCCGGTGAGTTTGAGGTTTCCACTGGATGATCTGTGCCTAATTGCTGAATAGATGCATTCAAAGGGGGAAATTAATAAAATGTGTGTTTTTAAAAATGCTGATAGTAATACAAAAATTTGAAATCATGTGTTTATTTCCATAAGTGTTAATAATATGTGCTAACATCCAGTACTTCTGCATCACCAAGTTATGAGGAGGTAAGAATACTGCTGGCTTTGTGAACAAATCCTAACAGTCAAGTTTTCTGATGCATAAATTACTGAATTCTGAGGAAAGAAATTCAGCACATTTGTATTATATCTTTTTATTTAAAAAAATACAAAATAGTGATAGAAAAAAACCTAGAATTAAAAATGATACAAGATTTCCCTAAACAAAGTAATAGGAATTCAATGATAGTTGCTGTATTATATGATGCTATCTTCAAATTAGTTCTTCAGATTACCAGATATGTACATGTAAGATTCATTTAAAGAGAAAATAAGACAAAACAATAAGAAAGAAGCTACAAGAAATTCAAAACAGGAAAAAAAATCAGAGAAAAAATAAATTAAGCATTAAGTGCTCCTTTCAAAAGACCAGCAGAAACTGACACTATAATTATACAAACTGTTCTGTCTATATACTATATTGTACCTTTATATTGGATTAATAATTCATTCAATAAGATCTGCAATCTTATTTGTTAATTTTAGTAGTGTGAATCAGTCTACCTCTACCTTTTGAAACCTGGTGGCGGCAGGGCTGAGGTCCGTGGTGGTGAGCCTATGGCACAGGCATTGCAGAGGGACACACAGCCTATTCTTGGCATGCAAGTCAAGTAACCCCAGAAACCAAGCACTGGATAGTCAGTTTTAATTGTGGTGTTGGGACTTTGTGATAAATATGTCAGTTTTGGTTGAAGTTCAGGCCATCATCTTTAAAAGGTTTGCCATCAGTGGCTTAGGCTTACCTTGTATTTCAGCATTGCACCAAACTCATTGTTTCTGTTCTCATTTTAGAATATGCTGGAAGGAAATGTGACCTTCCATGATGTTGTGTTCAAGTATCCCACCCGCCCAGACATCCCAGTGCTTCAGGGTCTGAGCCTGCAGGTGAAGAAGGGCCAGACGCTGGCCTTGGTGGGCAGCAGTGGCTGTGGGAAGAGCACAACGGTCCAGCTCCTGGAGCGGTTCTACAACCCATTGGCTGGTACAGTGGTGAGTGCTTGCCCCCTCAGCTCATTTCAGGCTTTGCATCATCTTGAAGCCTGGGTATATTTTTAATTCGCACAGACAAGTCATTGTTTTCCAATCTTTTAAGTAATAGCTCCAGTTAGGGAAAGTCTGTCGTGTAGGCTGGGTTCCAGGCTGTGTCATTTGCCTCCAGCCTCTCCCTCAGTACTGCCCTGAATCATCTTTATAATAATCTCTCTTGTGTGGCTAAATATGAGCCCACATCAGAAAAGCCAGCAAAAACTGAAGTACCTAGAAAAATAGGGAAGGGAAGCCAGGAGAGGTAAGGGACACAAACAAAGGATGGGGTGTGTTTCAAGAATATAATCATTAAAAACAGATTCTGTGAACTGATTAGAGAAATTGAGGGCTGAGCCAACACGGAGGCTCTGGTTATTTGTAACCTCCTGACATTTCATCCTCTCAGGGAAATGCTGACAGTACATAGTAGACCATGGGTGCAGAATGGCTAGGAAGGTGAATGAGACTTAAGAAGGTGTATAATACCAAGACCAAAGGTAAAAAGACAACTAAGATTGTCTTAGTTGTCAAAGGCAAAATGAGGGAACATGCTCAGGAAGAGGAAATCAGGAGCATTTTTTTATGGCTAAGGATGAGCTAACGTAAGTGATGGATGGAGGGCATTGAAATATCTTCCGGCGGGGGGGGGGGGGATAAAGAAAAAAAAGAATAAAACAAAACCCAAACACCCCAAGTTTGAAACATCTGGAGGTATGAATGAAGAGTGAGAAAGAATATCTTCTTATTTTCTGAACTAAGAAGTTGAGTGAAGAGTCCAAATTACTCACTCAGCAAAATGCCTGCATGCTTGTCAGCAGACCATCTTAGATGCTGGGCATGAAGTGAGTGTCTCAAAGGGAGTGGTGAATTGAAATGTCTGTAATGGGGGATAGGAGAAGAGCCAAAGTAGGAAGGAAGAAGATGTAGAACAAGAAATTGTATTCTGGCATATGCTTATTGGTTGTATTCAGTGATTGTATTTAAAGTATTAACTAGCTGGAGTGGTATGAACACTGACCAAGTGCTAACCCTTCCAGCTCTGTGTGGACCCTACTTGTAGAAACAACCAAAGTGCAAAAGAATTTACAACCTGTAGTCTATGGCTCTCTTATTCCTTCCTTACAGCAATTAACCAGTGTTACTCAGAAAAAGAATTATTGTACTCAAAGACAGTTATGACTTTACTTCACCTCATTGGTAAGGCAGTAGATCCAGAACTGGTTCTAAGGAATAAATGGGATTTACATATGCATGAACAGTAGAAATTGTTAGTCCGTGCAATAGATAATGTAGCAATAGTTGGTAGATTTAAGATTTTTTTCATTTCTTTTTTCTCTTTCTTTTTTTGCAATACTGGAGATTGAACTCAGGACCTTGCACTTTTCAGGGAGGTGCTTATGCCATTGAGCTAGGTTTTTGATCTTAGTGAAAGAAATAGGCCAGTTCAGCTAAAATAGGGAGTTAGTAACAGTACTGGTTCTCCAGGATACAAACTCCACTCCAGCCCAATAAACTCAACAGCTTTTGCATATACTGAATATAAGCCCACTTGAGAAAGAAATCAGGAAAACAATTCCATTTCTCAATAGTGTAAAATAAACACAAATCAGCCTAACCAAGAATGTGGAAGACCTTGATAATGAAAATTGTGGAGCACTGAACAAAGAAATTGAATAATACATTAGAAAGTGGCAAGATTTACTTTGTTTATGCATTGGCAAGACTGATATTGTCAAAATGGACATGTTAGCAAAAGTGCTGTACAGATTCAGTGTGATCTCTATTAAAATAATAACAGAATTCTTCACAGAATTAGAAAAAAAATCTAAAGCTCATGAAAGCACAAAGGAAACAGATTAGGCAAAATTCTCTGGAGAAATAAAAGCAAGCAGCTAGTATCAAAGTATCCCATTTCAAACAATACTACAAAGCCACAGTACCAAGTACAATACAGTATGGGCATAAAAGCAGACCTATACACCAGGGGAACAGAACAGAAGACAGGAAAACCAACCCATATGCTTAGCCATCTGTTCACAGAGGGACCAAAATCATGTTCTGGAGAAGGTAGATATCCATGTGCAATGGATTGAATGTAGGTATTATTTCCTCTGTATTAAACATCAAATAAAAATGGATCAGCAGCCTAGATATAAGCCTGGAATCTTGGAAACTGCTAGAAGAAGATACAGGACAATGCTTAAAGTGATAGGCACAGGTTAGGACTTCTGAGTAGGACTCCAGTAGTACAGGGATAAAAGATGGACCTACTTTAATTAAAAAAAATTGTTCAGCACAGCAAAGGAAACAATAGGGTGAAAAGATATCCTTCAGAGTGAGAGACAATCTTTTGTAACTCCTCTTCTGATAGAAGATTACTATCTACAATATATAATTAACTAAAATTAAAAAAAAACCCACCCAAACAGCATGTAGCCCAATCAATATATGACAAAATTCTCAAAAGAAGTACAAATGGCCAATAAGTATAGGAAAACTATTAAACATCTTTAATCAAAACTACATGGACATTCCATCTCACCCCAATCAGAAAGGCTGTTGTCAAGAATAGAAGCAGAGGGCTGGCCAAATAGCTCAGCAGATTAAAACACCTGCAAGCAGGTGCAGGGTCTGAGGGTTCAATCCCTGGGCCTGCCATGTCGGCCCTGCCCCTGGGGCAAGTTGAGACTATGATTGAGACTGGGTGTGGTGATGTGCCTACAGTCCCAGCACTTGGGAGGCTGTAAAGCAGGAGAATCACTATGAGTCTGATCTAGTAGTGAGACCTTCAACACCCTGTAGACCTTTCCCTAAAATACAGAAAAAAAATAAAAGAATAGAAGCAATAATGAATATTGGGGAGGATGCTGGATAAAAAGACTCTCCTAGAGACCCAGTCCTAGCCCAGGTCTGGTGAGTGTGTGGGAGACGTTCCTGCTACCCTGCGCCGGTGGGACCAGTGCCAGTCCAGGTGCAACGTGGACCAGACCTTCTCCCACTCCCTTGGGACACCCCCATCACTCCGCAGCACCGCCCCCACCCCACCCGCCGAGTAGGAATTTCTGCCCCGTTCCGGGAACCCCCAGGCCCAGTCCTAGCCCAGGTTCGGCGAGTGTGTGGGAGAGCTTCCTGCTACTCTGCACCACCCAGACCAAATACCGGTCCAGCCCAGGCACAGTGTGGGCAAGACCCTCTCCCACCCACTTGGGATGCCCCCCACCACTCCACAGCAGCTCCCCCACCCCGCCTGCCGAGTATATTTCGGCCGCGTTCCGGGAACCCCCAGATCCAGTCCTAGCCCAGGCCCAGTGAGTGTGAGGGAGAGCTTCCTCTCCCTCTACTCCACCTTGCCCCCTCCAGGCACAGCTCAGGCCTGGCATACATGCCTGGGGTGTAACCCTGCAGCTGCAATCCCTGCAGAGAGTGTAGAGGATAGATCCACCGAGCTGGTCCAGGAGGAGAACATCTTGCCACAGGGGCACAAAA